AGAAGAAAGAAGTTAAAAACTGATTAAAAGCTCAAAAGAAAATGTGGCTCCTAACAACCACCTGGAAGACCTGGTAGACCCCAAAACTGCCCCCATCAGATAAACAGCACTTAAAGCTTTCATCTCTGAGAGAGAGGAGAAAATCAAGCTCCATGCTTGGTTGATCATTTTCTGAAGTAATCAAACCCATTCAGTGGTGTTGAGGTCTGGACTCTGGGGTGGTCAGTCCATTGTCCAGCTTCTTTGTTTGATGTGTCCGTCTCATTTTCTCAGTGAGGTTCTTCTTGATCAGCTACACATCCTTTCAGACCCACAGTGCTGAGTCGTCTTCTCACAGTGGAAGGATGGACAGAAACACCTGTGGATGTTTTCAGATCTGAAGCAGCTTTAAGTGCTGTTTATCTGATGGGGGCAGTTTTGGGGTCGACCAGGTCTTCCAGGTGGTTGTTAGGAGACACATTTTCTCTGTACCTTTAAATCAGTTTTTGAGCTCCAGTTTTGGAAACTCCTGTTTTTCACTCTGACTTTATCCTTATTGTATATCTAACCTCCTCATAAATATCTCCCGAAAGATCAATAACTTGTACTTCATGGCTTTTTTTGCTGGAAATGAAATAAATGAATGGATTTCCTTGGTTTGTGCTCAGTACTGTATTTGCCCAAAAGCCACAAACATGCTGGCTGCATGACACATCTTGCGATATATTTCTAGCGTATTCCAAGTATTTCACATTTCTGTAGTAGTATCACCTGAAACAGACTCTACCTGAGATTTTCAGCACTTCTGCTTATGTTGCATATTTTCACAGTTACACTGTCAGACTCATTAAACTGAAGCGTGTGATCAAGTCTCATAAAAAGGGTGGAGAGATTGGATTGTTCTCTGTGTTGAAAACACAGAAGACTGTTCCTGTGTTAATAAAACGCCGAGGCATGAACAGACAGAAAGCTTTCTGTGTTCGGCTCTTGCCAAAGCAAACTTCTCAATGAGATTTATGACTTCCAATAAGTTATTTTGCTTACTGATTAAAATGTTTCATCTAGATCGCTTGCAAAATATTACCCTAAAGAAGGATTCAGAATATTCCGGTGCCTGCAGTTGTTCACCACGGCTGAACCTGTGCCAGCATTTTTTTCTTAGAATCATAACTAACGTAAAAAAAAGACAAAGTAAGGAAACAGGAGGGCAGTGAAAGGCACATTGAGAAAAGTCAGGGACGGAGGCCGATTTTTGACCTTGCTGGACAATATTTAACTGAAACGGACATGCATAATGGGAAAAATATGTATATGCTGTATGAACATGAGCCTCAGTATTGTTTGACATTTAGCAGACTGAAATCTGAGCGAAGCCTCACTGAAATGTCCCGTTTCAGGGATGTCTGAATCCCGAATCCTGAAAAGTTTTTAGGGCACTTTTACAAATCTGACAGTATCTTATCCTGGTCTGTGGACAGAATCTGAACATGATTTAAATATCATTTAAGTTACGTTACAACTTATAGCATCATGTTTTAGAGGATGGAAAAGGCAGTGTTAAAGGAGGACTCCACTGATTTCTGCAATTAAACTGCTTAAGATGTGATAGGAACCAGACGTCCACCTCTAAAAGCTCCTCACAGAAAGTTCCTACAGTAAATGGTTATGAATTCACTGCCTGATGACTGAGACACTGTTTTATGATAGTTTAGAGAACTTAAACTCCATTCATGGTGGAGGAATACATAACATGCAGGGCGCTGTGAGGCAAAATAGTCCCCAAAGAAAACTTATTATTTCAGATTTTCCACTATTTTCCATCATCAACATTCCATATAAACTCAGAAGACTCGTGTAGGTTCACTGGTGGTTCTGGACAGTAAATAAAATGTCTATATCTGTGTTGTAGTGATGGTGAACCCTGGTTCCTATCACCACCACTGTAAAGAGGTCTGAGTCTCTACAATCAACCATTTCACACCAAACCACTCTGACTCTTGTCCACCTCTTTAGCCCAGAGGATGAGGAGTCCGTGATTTTCAAAAAGCATTTCAAATGTTCATTCGTCGGACCACAGGACACTTTTCCACTTTGCTTCAGTCCATCTTAAATGAGATCGGACCCAGAGAAGGAGGTGGCGTTTCTGAATCCTGTTTATAAATGTTATTTTCTTTGCATGGTGGAGTTTCAACTGACATTTGTGGATGTAATGATCTGAGGGCACTCAGGCAGTCTAAGGGTGAAATTATCAATTAAGCACTACTTCATAAAAAAGAAAGAGAAAAAACACATTTATTTCATGATTATAACTCATTTATATCTTCTCTTTTTTTCTCTACATTTGACCAGCCTTAATGCCCTCCCTGCTGCTTCACATATTTCATCCCTGTCACAGTATGTAATACGTAAACCTAATCTCCAGCCACCACTACAATCACTACATAATGAACCTATTTCCTGATAGGACCGTGCTGCTTAGAAACATGAATGAGCTGAAGTCTGCCCACTCTGACTTTCTGTAATGACTGCAAGCTGTGTACATTTTAAGAACCGCCCAGTATTTCCCTGAACACTAAACTCTGAATATTAATGCGTTTGGCTTGATGTCAAAAGAATTTAATTATTAGCGAGATTGATTTCCTGCAGATGGCATTATCAGAGAAACACATCAGGGCCGTCAGCATCAAACCAGCAGACTGGACGGCAGTTAAAAACTCACACGCCACAGAGCACCTGCAGAAAAAAGCTCTGATACTCCATATTACCCCATACAGTACATACAGTATACTCCAATACTCCATATTACTCATTGCAGTGCATACAGTATACTCTAATACTCCACATTACTCCATACAGTACATACAGTATACTCCAATACTCCACATTACTCCATACAGTACATACAGCATACTTTAATACTCCATATTACTCCATACGGTACATACAGTATACTCTAATGTTCCATATTACTACATACAGTACATACAGTATATTCTGATACTCCATAGTACTCCATAAAGTACATACAGTATACTCCAATACTCCACATTACTCCATACAGTACATACAGTATACTCCAATACTCCACATTACTCCATACAGTACATACAGTATACTCCAATACTCCACATTACTCCATACAGTACGTACAGCATACTCCAATACTCCACATTACTCCATACAGTACATACAGTATACTCCAATACTCCACATTACTCCATACAGTACATACAGCATACTTTAATACTCCATATTACTCCATACAGTACATACAGCATACTCCAATACTCCACATTACTCCATACAGTACATACAGTATACTCCAATACTCCACATTACTCCATACAGTACATACAGTATACTTTAATACTCCATATTACTCCATACAGTACACACAGTATACTCCAATACTCCACATTACTCCATACAGTACATACAGCATACTTTAATACTCCATATTACTATACACAGTATATACAGTATACACCAATGATCCACATTACTACATACAGCACATGCAGTATACTCTAATATTACTCCATAGAGTACATGCAGTATACTCCAATACTCCATATTACTCCATACGGTACATACAGTATACTAAAATACTCCATATTACTCCATACGGTACATACAGTATACTCTAATGTTCCATATTACTACATACAGTACATACAGTATATTCTGATACTCCATAGTACTCCATAAAGTACATACAGTATACTAAAATACTCCATAGTACTATGCACAGTGCATACAGTATACACTAATACTGTACATTATTACATACAGTACATGAAGTATACTCTAATACTTCACACGCCCCTGTATTTCTCTTTCTCTCTGTAACAGCATGTTTGTGTTGGCAGTACTTGGTTTAAACAGTTTAGCAATAGTACAACCCCAACTCCAAAAAACAGGGGCAACAAAGGCTGGAAAGGTAAGTGGTACCGTCAATACTGGATACTCATGATCTTCGGGTCCTCAGGCGGCACTGCATTGAAAACAGGCATGGTTCTGCACTGGAAATCAGTGCATGGGCTCAGGAACACTTCCAGAAATCACTGTCTGTGAACTCAGTTCGCCGTACAATCCACAAACGCAAGTTAAAGCTGTATCATGCAAAGAAGAACCCACACATAAACAGGTTCCAGAAACGCTGCCGTCTTCTCTGGGCCAAAGCTCATTTAAAATAGACTGAGGCAAAATGGAAAACTGTTCTGTGGTCAGATCAATCTAAAATTCTTTTTGGAAACCACGGACGTTGTGTCGTGCGGACTCAAGAGGAGATGGACCATCAGCTTGTTATCAGTTCAAAAGCCTGCAGCCCAGACCTTCACCAAGAGAAAACATTCAGCGTACCACAAGACGAAAAATCAGCAATTCATCATCACAATAATGATGCAAAAATCTAATCTATCTAATCTATCTAGGGAATCAATCAATCAATCTGTCTATCTATCTATCTTTCTTTTTTCTTTTTCTTTCTCTTTTCTCTTTTTTCTTTCTTTCTCTTTCATTCGTTCTTTCTTTCTTTTTCTTTCTATCTCTTTTCTTTTTCTTTCTTTCTTTCTTTCTTTCTTTCTTTCTTTCTTTCTTTTTCTTTCGTTCTTTCTTTTGTTCTTTCTTTCAAATCACCCCAAACTGTTCATACAGTTCACATCTTTTTTTTCTTTCTGTTTCTTTCTTTCTTTTTCTTTCTTTCTTTCTTTCTTTCTTTCTTTCTTTCTTTCTTTCAGATCACCCCAAGCTGTACATAAAGTTCACATCTTTTTATTCTCTCTCTCTCTATGCTCTCTTTTAAACCGTTCCCCCTTTTTATCGTGTCTCTGTCTTTTTTTTCTCTTTCTCTCTTTTATTCATGCTCTTTTATTTAGTGTATATACTCTCTCTCTCTCTCTCTCTCTCTCTCTCTCTCTCTCTCTATGGGAGGAGCAGCCCTCCTCTCCCTCTCTTTCTCTCCTCCTCCTGCTGTATAAGTCTCTCTCTCCTCCTCTCTCCCTCACTCTCTCGCGGTTCTCCAGTAGGGAGAGATGATCTGGTCTGGACTTGCTGAAGATGCTGGATGGACACGGAGCCCTGGGATGGATACCGGTCACTCTCTTGGTGTTTCTGTGCTGCCTGCCCACGCTCGCCTCGGCTTACTTCGGGTACGTGCTCTCCCTGTTCTCACTCAGGTCGTGTGGGGCGGTAAGACGGCGCGTGGGGCGCGCGCCGTGCGGAGGAGGCGCAGGTTGGTTTGCGCGCTGAAGTTTGCGTTGTTGTTGTTGTTGTTCGCGCCGCGCTGGAGCGCGAGAGGCTGAGAGCGCGGGGGGAGTGGAGCTCGTGAGCCGGTCAGAGCGGTCAGTGAGCCGCTGTGGGAGAGCGGAGGATGAAGCAAAGTCCTGTCCGCGATCTAGAGGCACAAAACCGAACCGAGTGCGGCGTTCAGGTCAGTGTTGGGGGGGGACAGTGTCAGCACGGACACACGCGCGGCATTCGGCATCCAGCGCGAGCGCAAACTGGAGGTAAAGTGACGCTCCTCCAGCCCGGCTCGCTCCCCCAGCCCGGCTCGCTCCCCCAGCCCGGCTCGCTCCCCCAGCCCGGCTCGCTCCTCCAGCCCGGCTCGCTCCCCCAGCCCGGCTCGCTCCCCCAGCCCGGCTCGCTCCTCCAGCCCGGCTCGCTCCCCCAGCCCGGCTCGCTCCCCCAGCCCGGCTCTCTCGGTTCCTGAAGTGTTTCTGCTGCTCTGCAGTTTGTTTGACACACCGCGCTGAGCAGCACACATTCCTCAGAGAACCGGAGAACCAGCCGCACTGAGTCCGTTCCCACAGTCCTCCCGGTAGAACATGATCTCCAGAACAGCTTCAGCTGCGCTCTTAGCCAAAAGTCTCTGAAAAAGAACAGCAGAACCCTGCCTGACTACATCTAGAACCATTCTGAAGAGCCTTTTGAAGAACAACATGCACCTCAGGTGGCCCATCATACACACTGAAAAATGATGGTTGCTCAAGGGTTCTTCTGTGAGGAAAATGGTTCTATATAGAACCATGAACACTCAAAGAAATCTTTCCATAGTGAAATGGTTCTTCAGATAGACAGAGAATGTGTTATAGATGGTTCTAGATAGAACCTTTTGGAAAGGGGTTCTATATAGCACCAAAAAATGTATCCTATTGTGTCAAGCTTATAACAATAACAGAACCTTTTATGGTGCTGTATGGAACCATTTACACTCAAAAAACCATCTGCATGATTAAAGGGTTCTTTGCATGGTGAAAGTGTTCTTCAGACTGATGGATAACATGCTGTTTATGGTTCTATATACAACCTTTTGGAAAGGGGTTCTATATAGCAACAAAAAGGGTTCTTCTAGCTTGTATCCCAACAATAACAGAACCCTTTGTGGTGCTGTATGGAACCATTTGCACTCTTAAAAATGATGGTTCTTCAAGGTTTCTTTAGTTAAAAATGGTTCTATACAACACTCAAAGAAGCTTTTGCATGATTAAAACGTTCTTTCTAATGTGAAATGGTTCTTCAGATTGATGGAGAATGTGCTGTAAATGGTTCTGTATAGAACCTTTTTGAAAAGGGTTCTTCTACTGTGTCAAGCTTGACATCGTAACAATAGAAGAACTCTTCTATTTACTATTTAAGTCCCCTTAAAGAACCGTCTATTGTAAGGAGTACAATCTATTGTAGAGAAGAGCCATTTAACCATGTCAAGAACCATTCAGGTGGTTCTCTGAGTTGTTATGACTTCATTTTCATCTTTGGACATAAACGCCAGGTGATCTTTAGGTTATGTGAACGTTCCGTGACGAGTTGACCAATAGAAATGCTCCAAAGCTGCTTTTACATTAACTTCCAGCGACTTTATACAACTGATGCCTTTACTAAAGAACCCTTGAGGCCCTTCATTAAAGGTTCCATCTCTGCTTACCCTTATAAACAGTATCTGTAATGTATATTGGAGCCTGTTTGGGAGGCTGCAGCTCTAACAGAGGCCTGGTGGCCTCAGGTGGCTGAGCGACTTCCTTTCGCAGGTCTCTTTTACGCGCTGTGGTAACAAAAGGTGCAACACATCTCAAAATATTGTGTCATGTGGCGCCCCTGGCTGATGTGGGGGGGGAGGGCGCGGTGCGAGATGTTATCTAGAGCTATCTGCTGGAGGTATTCTCTCTGAGATGCGAGGGGCCAGCTGAGGCCGTGCTGAAGGAGTGGTTCCCTAAGGGCCAGTTGAAACATTATGAAGCTGTAAAAGTGGCTTGTTGGGCCAGAGTTTGGGGCTTGGCTGTTCTTTTTTTTCCCTTCTCCGATCTGTTTCTCCGAGCTTCTGGATCACATTACCTTGGGTGGGATAGGCAGCTCTGCGTGAAGAATTACAGCCATACGTCTTTGATCTCCCTCAGATCAGTGCCGTGAATGGCTGGAAGTGATTTTTGATTGCAGTCACTTGTGAAGCGTTCTTGTTTTTCGAGCAGGTATGCGGTGTCAAGAGTGCCCATTGTTTCTGGGCACTTCTTTCAGCCACTTCGTCTCCTGTAGCGGAGACTACCTGCACTTCCTCTGCTATCGGGTCATGAAAACAAGCCGTAGGAAGCGCATTGGTGATAGAAGTAACCTGTGCACGTTGGCTCTTATCTCCCGTAATGAGCTCTGGGACTCTGGTGTTGATGCGGCTGTCGTTTTTTGCTCGATAGTCCTTTGATTTTGGCCCCGGCGACAGGCTTCTCTTAAGTTTGATTGAACTGTTCTTGAATGAATGTTATCTCGAGTGGCTCGGGCTCAATCAGGTACCGGAGGTGTGAGTGAAGTGGACTTGGCAAAGCCGTACGACGTGAGTCAGAGTCCATACCCAAAGCGTAAGTCCAGGCGGACGCCAGTGGGCTTGTGCACCTAATTAAATCCTAATTAAAGTTGAGTGCGCACCAACAGGAAGTCTAATGTTTTATGGGTTGGATTGGGACGGGGCCCCGTGCACTTGCTTGTGAAAACAAATGCTGGGCTGCTGCCCATTCACTTCGCAGAAGGTAGATTCTGATGTTGGCTAGCTGCCCCCTTACCTTGTGTGAACGTTGGAGTTTCTTGGATTTTTAAGATGTAGGCAAAGTCATTCGGAGCGCTCTGATCACAGTGGTCGTGATAGGAACCAGACATCCACCTCTAAAAGCTCCCTCACAGAAAGTTCCTACATGAAATGGTTATGAATTCACTGCCTGATGACTGAGACGCTGTTTTATGATAGTCTTGAGAAGATTTTGGTCTTAAAGTCCATTCATGGTGGAGGGATATGTGCAGTTAAATAGTCCCCAAACTTATTGTTTTCAGGTTTTCCACTATTTTCCATCATCAACATTCCATATAAACTCAGAAGACTCGTGTAGGTTCACTGGTGGTTCTGGATAGTAAATAAAATGTCTATATTTGTGTTGTAGTCATGGCGACCCCTGGTTCCTATCACCACCACTGTAAAAAAGTCTGAACCATTTCACACCAAACCACTCTGAATCTCTCTGATTACATCTGAACTGCAATTGTGAAAATTGGCTGAATTCCTGAATGTCTCTAAGCTTGTTTTTCCCTCGTTCCTCTATCGTTACTGTTTAGGAGATACGTGGTTTTCTTACGACAGCGACGATAAGTGAAACATAAACACGGCCTGCTCTGGTCCGCCAGCCGCACTTCCGAGGGCGTTACGGGAAAGCTGGCCAAATCAAGCTGCTCGGATCGTCATTCCCGCCACAAGAATGCGAAAGCTCGGTTTTCCCCCGGCTGCGTGCGCTCCGGGCCGAGACGGCAGGTGCCTCTGTAGGCTGGGGCCAGGCTGGGTGGGACTGAGACTGGGCAAAGGGGAAAATGAGCGATGTCATTACCGAAACATTCCTGAGCTGAGAGAGGAGAAAAAGTGATGCAGGAGCTACAGGCAGCAGCGCTGGATGATCCAGCGTCTGATGGTGTCGGATTTACTGGTTTTAGTGGTATTGATGGAAAACAAAAATCTCAGTTAACTGAAATGTAAGACACTCTCTGTCTGGTAAATGTTGACATGCTGTGTACGGTTCCCTGTCAGGTCTCTGTCAGGTTTGTAAGGCATTCTTTTAGAGTAGAGTAGCAGCTATGGGGTCATTAACTTTATTAATGCAGCGTTAATATGACACATCTGGAAATCTATTCGGAAAAATCGCGATATTGAATTTTATCCATCTCTTTGACCTGCACAGTCAAGCCCATTTATAATCAATTAAGCCCATTTAACATCAACAAACGCTGAACAAAGTGCTTAACAATAGGTCAAATAAAGCTTATTTGAGCAAATAAAACACAGATAACATTCAGATATAATATCAAAAAAGGCTGTAATGTAGCGCCAACATATACAGATAAAAGAATAAAAAGACAATAAGACGCTTAGAGAGGGAGCTACGCTGCTGTGAGTGGATCATGAGTTCAGAGTGGACCGTCCACCACCCAAAAATATCCAGACAAGATCAGCTCTGTTGTGACTGTTGACAATGAAACTGACCACTGATGAAGGACGAATGAAAATGTTTCCTGACCCGGTCCTCACATTTTTCCTTCATCTCTATGTGTTCCGAGTTGATTTGGAGCACAAGTGTGGAGCGTCTGGTGGCTCTGTGGACCGGATTAGGAGCTACTGGACAAGAGAATGACTAACACAGACTGTGCATCAATAGATGAGCTATAGTCTATAACTGTACAGCAGCCAGGTGGAGCTACAAGAGAGGGGCTTTAAATAAAGTGGCTAGTTCTATGGATGGTCAGCAGTGGTCTTAAAGTGGCTGTTTCCAGTGATGAAGGAGGTGGACGAGGGCTGATAAACTGTACAGTAACAGACGGACTACAGTCTGGAACTGTAAACCTTCATAGCGCACATATACGGTGGGTGTTTCTGATAAAATGGCCAGTTTTTGTATATATAAGGTAGGTGGACATAATAACCTGAACACTGTTCCTAAATTCAGTTTCCCATATTTTTGGCATCCAAACCCTCCCACATATCGTTCAGTACTGTGCAGTGCAATACAATACAATATAATACTATACTATACTATACTATACCGTATTATTCTTTCATAGTATACTACACTATACTATACAATGCAATACAATACTATACTATACAAGACTATGTTATACTATAGTATAC